TGCTCGCCTGTGCGAGGGTACGGGGGACCCAAGATCTGGTAGCTTTTTTGCTCAACGAATTAGTTTAGCGATACAGCGAGGCAACGCTGCAAGGCTGCAGCAACGCGGCGAACTCAATGAAATATATAATTTTTAATTATTGTTGTACCTTTTGTTGACATTAATGAACATTTATTTATACATCACAAGTAATTTTAAGTACCTCTGTACGGCATAGCAGATTTTCCGCTCGAATTTGAGCTACTACACTACTTTACAGAAGATAGCACAGTAAAATAACACAACCTTCTTGTGGTGTTTTATTTCTGTCAGTAAGGTTCCAGGGATCCACGTAGAAAATGTATTATAATAAAAATATGATATTTTAAATCAGATTTACCCTATCAATAGTTGGGTCTTTTTTAGAGTTCTTCATTTCGCGTCGGGTAGGCGGCCAGTCCACACTTGTCTGTGCCACCCGCCCGCGCTTTCTCATTACGCTGTACGCACGGTCGAGTTATTCCCAAAAAGCGGGATTGAGCTTGGCCCGCGCGGGACATTTTCATTTTCACCCTGATCCAAGCCCTACGGATCAGGATCAGTATTGCCAGACGTCCCAGATTTAAATCAAAATAAAATGTCCCGCGCGGGCCAAGCTCACTTACTTCGTTTTATACAGTGATGGCGCGATTTCATTTAACTGTCTGCGCAAATACGAGTGCCAATGGAATTCGGTTATACGGCTAAGTGTAAATGAACGATGTCGAGTAAACCCATATTCGGGTAGATTTCCTTTTGTATACCCGACACCGTCTTCCAGCCCATATTCCAGTGTAAATATTGCTTCAGGTGGGCACCCAAAAGAATTCGAGTAATGTCTTTTAAGCACCCGAATGCCATCTAGCGGCGAGCCATGCCATCCTATTTCTGTACGACTCGACGGAAATTGGATTGTCATTAAATATCTATCACCGAAATTCGTTTACTGTTATTTAAAGACGGAAATTAAAAGGAGATATGTCAACCTTTTTCGTTTTGTATATTTTTATCCATTTCATAACAAGAAATATTTTTTTTTCTACAGCCTCAACCGTCACCAATATCGAAAAAAGTGTAATGACCTAAAATGTTCCTTGGTTCTATTAAACCGAGGTGCCTTTTCTTCATATTTTTTAAACTCGACCCGTTCTCGAGATAACGGAAATTTTCTGTGGTAAAACACACGATTTTTCGGCCGAATAAAGTTTTTTTTTAATTTCTAAAAAAGTTTTTGACTTTACCAAAATAATTTATATAGTATCTTAAAGCCCTTCAATTTCCGCGTTTTTTCAGCCCTCACACGTCCTCGTGGCTTTAAACCTCAGGGTATCACGGGCGAGTCGCACTTTTAGCGAAAATGGCTAAAAGTGCGACACATTGGAGCGAACGAAGAAACATTTTCAATGTTAAAAACCATTTCTAAACAAGACTTGGATGAAGTGTTTTATATTTAGATAAATTCACAGTCTTTCGTAATAGACATGACTTTTTTCGCAAAATCTGTCGGTTGTCAGCCCAATATAAAGGCTGTATTAAGCAAGATAAGTAGGTACATATTGCGTATACATCGGCTGTACCTACCTAAAGTAATCCTCTCTGGTTCGTATTTTATTTCCGTACCAAACCTTGGCTATTATTAATAATGATTTAATATAATTTAAAATTATTTAAATTTAGCTAAGTATTGCTTAAATATAATAACTACAAACATAATAAGAGGACAGAAAAGAAAATATTAAGTATTTTTAATAGAAAATGTTTCTTCCGTTCCGTCCCTATGGCAACACCAGGTAACACCTTACTATAAAATCAGCCTAGCTTACAAGTTTCAATCCTCCTTATTAATAAACGAAGACTAAGCTCGGATTAGTTACTCTATATTTTGACTCTGTTTATTGAATGACAAATGACACTTGAGTGTCATGAACAAAACATGGCGTAACTATTCTAAGTTCATTCCTCGTTTATTAATAAGGGTTGAAAGTTTAGTTTTCATTCATTTTTACTTCATAGAACCGTATTTACTCGTAGCAAGCCTTTGCCATTCAAAACCATTGATAAACTTGACAACAAAATCAAATATTTAATGGAGACAGAAAGAACGTCGTTATTTTCTGATGACCTCAACAATCTAATTCTACTTATAAAGTTTATTCAAATACGAATTCGACTCGCACTTGACCAATTGTTTTCTTTTTTATTATTCATCGTAAAAATGGAAATAGCAGCCCCGACACAGCCGACGCCGCTTCCGATCGATCTAACAATGATAGCACGAATGTGTTTAGACTAATTTTAAAAAGCTATCTCATGTTAAATAACATACCACGGAATCCATAAAAAGGACTCCATAAACATTTGTAAACACTCATCATTCTGTTGTGTATTACAGTAAAAAACAACTAAATCAAAGATACCATTTTAAAAGTTGCCGCGAAAACGGTGTTCTAGACATTATCGTGTCTCACTGGTATGTGACGTCACACGGTTGTCATTAAGAGCAGACGCGAGCTGAAAGACATTTGAGAAACAGGTATTTGAAAAAACTATTGCTGTCACGCATTGGAAAATACCGTGTGTGTGGCAACAGTAGTTAACGCTGAAAATTTCGTATAAAATTGTAAAATTCGAGGTTCGGGCTCTCGACGATTTCCTCCTCGAAAATTAGATATACGTAAAAGAAATTTTACACAAAAAATAACAAGTAGTTACACTATGCCTTTATATTTTGATTTTTATTGTAAATGCTTATTAAATCGCCACACTAGACGTCTTTAGTGGTGATAAAACTTTGTTAATTTTGGCCCCTTTCGGGGGCTTCTAGTTTCTTTGAAATACAAGTTGTCGAAAAAAAAAGACATAGGAGCATAGAATGAAAAAAAATATATTCTATGTATGAAATTCAATTCTTTAGTGATAAAAATCAAGGAGGAATCAGTCGAGAACGGTTGTATGGAAAAAATCATTGCCCGCCTCCCGTCTTAAAACGTCAAACGATACAATGTAATATCACGTTGACCGGAAGTTTACTAGCGTGTGACGTCATTTTAGTCTATTTATTTCTTGTATTATTACGTATACCACTTATTTGAGTCTACGCAAATCCTAGGCGTTTTCGGTCACATGCCCATAAAAACAAAAAAAATGTATATTTAATGATTTTTTTAGAAAAGTTAAATAGAGATGCCAAGAATTGGTACTTAATTTTTATACTGTCAAATTGCCTTATGTTTTACTTGCATCTGATTTGGTGTTATATAATAGTCACCACAATATTCAAAATGTACCTCAACAACACCACACACGAGAAACGATTACTTTTACAAATCTGTTATTTTTACATTTACTGTATTTAAAACATTTGAACCACGACAATTATTGTGATTTGATTTGATAGTGATTTTATACAGTACCCTTAGCACGAACTATTATCGAATTCGAATAGTTTGCGAGTCCGAAACGTCATTAAAATTTTGTATGGAAACTTGAACAGCAGCTCCACGAAGTACGCAACCAGAACTAAAAATCAGTACACATTTCACAATGACAAATTTCACATTATTTCGTAAACGAATTCGATTTTAATTCGTGCTTAAGGTACAGTAAACTAATTCCGAAACTCGGTCGCAAGTTGGTTTTTCTCCCTCGAGCCACTTTCATCCATTGTAAAGATCCATTGATGGATCTTTTTGCACTTTTATGTCCACCTTAATCAATGATCAAAAAATTTGTTTAAAGCGGATTTTTTTGATCTAACATGTGTCTGAAAATGCATTAAAGAATGGGTGAAACAAACTTGCCTGGCTATTCGCAGATCATAAATTGTGAAAATAATTAAAATATAATAAATCGGATGTAGGTACCAGTGCAACATAACTCCAGAGGAGGTATTGCTTTCCACTTCTCGTGATAATCAGGAATTCTTGAAAATGCAGATATTGTACACGTCCCTTGGAGTTATGTTGCCCTGCTATCTACACCCGACTTAATAAAATTAGTTATTTCTCAATCGATGATTCATCCAGGGAAATTTACATGTGTCGCCCATTCTTAAATGGATTTTTAGACATACTTTAGTTCTAAAAAATCCAATTCGCAAAAAATCCTGGATCGAGGATTTAAGTGAACGTAAGAGTGCAAAAATACTTAATGAAGATGAGGATCCAAATCGTAAAGAATAATGATAAAGTAAAACAGATGGAAGTAATCGTGCGTACAAAAAGCGTTTAACCCAATTATTAGTATGCTTGAAAATTTAAGAAATAAGTAGGAATATTATTGACTATAGTTATATAATATATATATGTAGTTGATTCTAAATTAACTGCTTCTGTTCATTCTCATGCAATCACACGGATTCATTAAAATATTCTCCATCTTGGAGTTCCGTTTTGCACGTGCGCCCTTGATATGAAGATATAAATAGATTCACCTAACTTTATTAAATACCGATGAAATAATAAGATATTAAGAATTTTCTCCCCCAATAAACACCTAAATTACCAACGTAGAGAGGTACGAAAATTCGATAATGTCTATCAATAATTTCTATATATAATCAGCTTCGGAAGTGAAGACGCTTTCACAAAATGTCACATGAAGTAACAACGTTTATAATGACTAGACTACAATAATAATAAAATAAATTATAGGAATATGCTGTTCTTTTAAAATAAACTGTTATTGTAAAGTTAAATATTGTCATTGGACGAAAGCAAGACGTTTTCAGGAATTAAATATAGGTAGGTACAATTTGAAGAAACTGATCGATAAGTAAGTACCTTCTAAATTATATTTACAGATTCGCATTCCTTCAGCAGTTCTAGTAGCCGGTCGAACTAAAGCCGGCACGAGCGAGACAGTTACATAATATTCGGAATCCAGCAAAGGGCACTGTCCTTGACACGGCCGTAAACCGAGCGAGCGCTCTGCGGCAAAACTGGGCGAAACAGACAAAAACTAAACATCTCCCTCTTTCTTACCTGGTTAGGCGACGCCGTCTCCGTGGTCATGTCTTCCAAAGACGCTATGCTACTCTTCCTCTTTTTCTGACATGAACAGCAGTTGCTCAACTTGGTCAGCGTAAAACCGTTTCAACGCTAAGCAGTCCTGATCATCAGTATCGATCTAGCTTTTTCACTCGCAATCACGCGTGTGTTCCACCAAAGTCCACCGTCGACATTGTTGCGAGCGAAAACTGACAATCGCGATATCCTTCCTTTGGGAGACGCTCATGCGTCCGCCATATTGCTGCCCGTTGATTTGCAAAAACTTAACTACGATAGCACTAAGCCAAGATCGAAGCTGTACGAGCCACTTTGTAGAATTTTTAGTAGATTTCAATGCACGATTGAGAGGAATGTACAGTTTTATGTTACCGACGTACGTTCACCGCGGGGGTGTAGGGGTATGCCGGCTCGCGACAAGTGAACTTGGGTGGGGTGGAAAGATCCCTCTGCGACTGCGCGGGGGTTGGTTTCTGTGTGCGTGATTCCGTGTAACTCGGCAAATTAACGGAGACCTCTGTTCTCCCTCTCGAGCGGTAGTCTTACACGCGCAAGCGGGAGGACGGGCGTACATTTCCAGGGGGCCAGTTATAGCGGTCGTTTCGCGCGTAGTGGGAAGTGGAATCGATAATGCAGAAGGTTCATGCAAGGAAATGTCAGACACTGAGTTGCGAGACCGACAAAGAGACGGAGATACACAAACGGCCGGCCTTTAATAGCCCGAGCGGAACAACGGCAGGGGTTCTAGCACAATTCCCAACAATGTAGGTAGAGAATAAATTGAAACTGTGTTAATGGTGATGAGTCGCGATTTTCGCAATTGTTACACATTATTTTTACTGGCACTCGTTATTTAATCCTCCGAATGATGATTTTTGAGTATCACAAATAAATGGATAACGATCCTGTCGTTCTAAAATCTTCGACTGTCATTTATAAGACAGATTTACTTTATATGTTTTTTTTATAAATACAAAATGCTTTCCCGGAATGAGTTCAACAATATAACAGACAGGTATCCAAATTAAGAAAAAGTCCCACGAGATATTTTTTCACACTGGCGATCAATGAATCCGGTCACTCCTATTGTACAAACTTATTTAAGGCACATATTTAAATGATCATTAACAAAGTATAGTAATTGATCCTCTTAAGTAATATTAATCTAACCTTTTGGTTACCGATAGTATTAGATAATTTTTTTAAGCATGTAACTGCTTGATGTTTAAATCTAAAGAAAATATAAATAAAATTAAATATATTTTTTATTTTTTTGAGGATCATGCAAATATTTTCCCGTCCATTTCTATAGAAATGTTTCCATCGAATATATAAGTTTATCTATGGAAGGTGATAAATGTAATGTAATTAAGAACATGATAGTATTATCGACGACCTCCGTTGCCGAGTGGTTTGTACGCCGGGTTCCATGGTGTCGCCGACTCGAGAGGTCCCGGTTTCGAAAACCCGGTGGGGGGCAGATGTTTGTGTAATAAATACGAGCATTTGCACTTCAGTCATGGATGTATAATATGTATTTCTATTTAAATATACTTATATATGTACAGTATATGTATTATATCCGTTACCCTAGTATCACTAATTGGCTAGGCTAATTGGTGTGAGTGTTGGAAATATTTATTTATTATTATATCTTTATTTTTATAGGCATTTAACTTCTAAATGTTTATATCTAAATAAAATGTTACTAGTAAAAAACCTTTTGGGTTATCTACAATGCGAGGAGATGACGCTGCCTTGCAGCCTAAGAAATACTAGAAAGAATTCGACATGGCCACCAGTGACTCGGTAGCATTATGGTCAGTGCATCCGCCCGGATAGTGGAGGGTGCGGGTTCGAGTCCCGTCTGCTGCCTGGTCGGCGTGGATTTTTTTCTAGTATAATCTTCTTTATGATAGTATTAATTGTATTGTTACTTCTAATAATTTACGTAACTTTGAATCACAGTGTGCAAAAATTTAAAGGGTAACTTAGTGTTAGCTTTTCATGTGAGACAGTAAATGTTTATAACAAGTTGGAAGTTATTAATTTAAATTAAAATAATAGATTTTAGCCATATGAATAAAATAAAAAAACGAGTGTGCTTATGACCACACGACTGAAGTGAAACTTCTTTAACTCCATCTGTATGTGTATATATATATATGTGTGTGTACAATATATACATGTATGTACATATACACATTTCATTTACTAGCTATAAGAGAAAAAGAGAAAGAAAATGTGCGCGCACACTGCTTTTTCTTGCTTATATCCCCCACTCAACTCCCGTTCGCTTCGCCCAACAAACTTTTCGTAACGCGTAACGCATTCGCCAGCTTACTCCCCAAGTCAAGCGTGCGTAAAGAAGTTTCACTTCAATAAGTTGAAATCAATTCAGATAAATGAATCCACGATGGGGCATAGGGTAGATACTTATATACTTAGATATATGTTAGTGCTATCGTATAGCCCCCATTTCATGACGTCACATTTGGCATTATCCGTCCTTATCCTAGAACATTCACTAAATTACCCTCCCATCTGTTGAAAGAGATTTAATTATTCTGTGTGAAAAAGTTGGCAACTTGTATGTACATAGTTTTTTTTCGCTTCTACTCCAGAAAATATAGTTTGGATGATAGGTACTTAGGGGAAAACGGGGATATTTGCTCAGGTGGGAGAGTTGAACTCTCCCGAAAATTGTATTTAAATTTGGCGCAAACAAAACGTCAATTCCTTCATTGGTCACATGCGAGACTGTTTTGTTGCGCTAAATTATACAAAATTCAATTTTGATAGATGTGTCAACTCTCCCACCTGGCCAAGTCGCCCAGCTTTCCCTTACCTTTAAATCTTCTTAGCTCAATTCTCTTAATAACAATTAGTTTCGTAGAACGCTATTGAATTAATCAATATCATTATGACGTTATCATTGTGATTCTAATTGGATTATGACAGATTGTTTGGTGATGATTATTTTTTAATTAATCCAGGGAATAGGCACTTATAATTAAGGTGTACTTATTTAAATTTACTGCTATTACCAGACCCCTCTTTCCCAGTGGGCACTTTGGGCAAGTGCCCAGGGCCCCGCTATCGAAAGGGGCCCACCTAGTTCCTGTTAGATCACGGAACGGGGGTCATAGGGGCCCCATTATCCGAATATGCCCAGAGCCTCCAATAGGTCAAAGACGGCACTGGCTATTACATTGCTGCCTGTACCATGTTGGCGAAGCGAAGGCCAATATCAACATATTTGTCTTGCCTTGTCAAGCTCGGTGTCGCTTGCCTAATTTGCCGAGTAAAGGGAAGCGCCAACGTCTATAAATCTCATTGGCGTCGCTCACCAACATTTATCCATATTAACTGATAGCGCACCAACGTATGGGCCAACTCTATTGGTCTTCTTCAAACTTGCCCAACGTCAAGACGGTAGCAGTTTCCTTGTATCAGTTGGTCTATGCTCGCGTTGGATCAAGATCTGCCAACATGTATTGTCAGCTTTAGACTAATAAAGCTGTGGGAGGAAAGGCTCTACGCAGCTACGTACGTTAACAAAAACATCATCGCCGTAGCACAGCTACACGATTCTACGACACTACGCAAAATGTATAATAATACCCTAGATTATGAAGACAGAGATGGAATTTACTTTGAGAAATAAACTCAGACTGAATTTGGAGGATTTATTAATTGACAGAAATGTTGATGTTGTCACAAGTGACGTAAAAGATGTAATAAAGTATTACAGTGAATTTTGTTACCTTTAACAAAATTTAAAGAGCCACCAACAAGCCAGCCTAATTTAGAATTTTGAAGAATAATTTGTTTCTTAGGTTTTCACGGACATCACTCATTACATAAAACTAGTTTTAACGGGTTAATGCACGAACTTTATTTATTTATTGACGTTTCGCAGCCTTTTCAAGTCTGCATCGTAAAAATAATGATTTTTTATTTACTTTGTTACTTATAGACAACCTCCGTGGCCGAGTGGTTTGTACGCCGGGTTTCATGGCGTCGCCGACTCGAGAGGTCCCGGGTTCGAATCCCGGTGGGGGCAGATGTTTGTGTGATGAACACGAGCATTTGTACTCCAGTCATGGATGTTTAATATGTATTTCTATATAAATATACTTATATATGTAAAGTATATGTATTCTATCCGTTACCCTAGTATCCCATAACACAAGCCTTATGCCTTATAGTGCTTACTTTGGGGCTAGGCTAATTGGTGTGAGTGTTGGAAATATTTATTTATTTATTATTATTATTATTTGTCAAGCTACCTTCGAAAGACTTTTATTGAGCGTTCGGATATTTCATTGGAAGAATTTTTCAAACTTTATTGTCTATATATGAATTTATTAGTTAATTTAATTAATAAAGTACTTTATTTAAAATTCTTTTTTGTAATTTTGAGTTTATTTATTTGACCCTAACTACCGTAAACTACCACCGGTTCCAAAATTGGGAGATCTGATTCTGAGAAAAACCGGCGAAACAAACTCAGAGAGGCTTTCTATCTCCTTCTTATGTAAAATTATGCAAACAAAAAGAACTAATAGTATCTGTTGGTCTTGCAGTGTGTGCTCGGGGTTAAAAAATATTATTCTGACGATGCAGACCTGAAAAGGATGCAAAACGTCAATAAATAAATAAAGTTCGTGCATTAACCCGTTAAAACTAGTTTTATTTATTTGAAGAATAATTATAGTTTAACCCAATGGTTTTTGTTCACATAATAAAATATTCCAAAAGAGGTCTGCGCCTATCAGTAAATCAATAGGACAGAGTTGGTCAAAGTTGGGATCTGCTAATTTATATTGAAAAGGTATATATATCGCACATGGCACAGCATGAAGGGTCATTACAGATTGAAGAAGATGCCGCAATTGCATCAAATGGAAACCGAGCGTATCAGATTTTGAGTACTCACGAGAGCAATAAGTGGCGAAAAAGCTTGGGCCCCAGACACACACCTTAATAAGACATATTTATATTGTTTTTATTTTGAGGAGCTCAATGGTGCAGTGCTGAGTGGTTATCGCGTTCGGCTGCGATCGTTGAAGTTAAGCAACTTTGGCAGTTGTCGGTCATTGGATGGGTGACCAAAAATCTACTATCTCGAGCACAGTTCCTCCGTGCTTCGGAAGGCAAGTTAAGCTGTTGGCCCCGGAGGTATATGCAGTCGTTAGCAATTCAAAAAATTCTGTACTCCTAGCAGGAACCCATATCGGATTCGAATAGTTTGCGAGTCGGAAATGTCATTGTCAAATTTTGTACAGCAGCACCACAAAGGACATAACGAGAACTAAAATTCGGTGCAGATTTGACAATGATATTTTGGACTCGCAAACTATTTGAATTCGATATTAGTTCGTGCTAAGGGTACTGAGTTTCTTGTTTATCTTATCAACTAAAAAAATCCTAAGTAAAAGAGATATTTGGTCAATTCAAACTTATTAAATCTTAATACAGTAGATTTGCATTTCATTTTTTTAAACTTGTATATAAACAAGTCTAAAACTAAATCATGGTCACTTTTTTTAGTACCCTTAGTACGAGTT